CCCTGGGGCAGGGAGAGACCGAGAGGCTGCCACAAGGGTCCCCATGAGGGTCTGGACCCCATCAGGGGCCACGCGGTACAGGGCCACGCGGCGGACATGGCGGAGGAAGAGGAGGGCAAGAGGGGCCTCAGTGAGGAACGTCTGGAGGAGGCTACAGAGCCGCTCAGGATTGGAGACCCCTGAAGCAATTCCTGACGGTTGTCGGCGGAGGGGGAAGCGGAACAGGGTACCCTTGGCAGAGCCACGGTGCTGTCCCACAGCTTCCAGCCCAGCCCAGAAGGGCTCAAAAAGGCCAGGAAGGTCCTGGGCTGCAGAGACATCCCAGCGGGCACCAGCACCTGGCAGCACCTGGCATTCGGGGTCCAACACCCCCAAGGATGGAGGGCTCAGCACACCTGGCAAGTCTGGGAACATGGGAACCATGAGGCCACAGGGATGGCACAGACACCACTGCCTCCCCAGATCGTCCCACCCCATCAGTGCCCCAAGTGCCCACCCAGTACCCCCAAGTTCAGCCCCACAGTGCTTCCCAAGATCCCAAGCTTAATCCCAATTCATCAGCCCTCCCTCAGTTTGCCCCCGTGGCCCTGCGCTCCATTGCCACCCAGCCTCCCCGCAGCCTCCCTTCAGACACTGCCCTCCATTTTGCACCTCCTTGGTGCCCCCCAGTACTCCCCAGTTCAGCGCCTCCAGTACAACCCACATCCCCAGTTCAGTCCCGGTTGAGGCCCCCAGTGCTGCTCACCGGTGAGGTGGTAGACAGAGGTGAAGCCCAGGCCAAAGCGCCCCACAGTGTTGGGGTCCTCCCGCTTGTGCGACACCCCTGGGCGCATGAGCCCTGTCCAGTCCCGGGGGAACATTACAGCATCATTGTAGGCCAGCAGGGCTGGGCCTGGGGGGTCAGTACCACAGGTTAGGGGAGACTTGGAACATGTAGGGGGGGGATTGCAACCCCCCACTCAGTGTCCCCACAATCTCAGTCTCCCCTCCAGCCCCACAAAATCCCCCTCAGTGCCCCCAGTACCACTGAGTCCTCCCAGTATTCTCAATGCCTCTGACACATCCCAGAACACCCCGTTGGTTCCAGTTCCCCCAGTCTGCTCTGATCCCTCTTCAATTCTTCACCAGTATCCCTCAATCCCTCCCAGTACCTGCCAACGCCACCCCTGCCCTTTGTCCAGGCTCTCCCAGTGCCCGTAGCGCCTCTCACCCTGGGTGCCCTCCAGCCCCCCTCCGGTGACATCAAATTCCCGCTCGTCAGACACAAAGACGACCTCATTAGCGCCGGCGTCATCTGCGTTCTGCACCAGCTCCTGGGTTCAGGGATTAGTTGCGGGCCACCGCGGCCCCTCCAGCCCCCAGAAGGAAAGCACTGACCCGCTTGCCCAGCTGGCCAGCAGGGTCCGGGGGCTGGTGCTGGGTGAGGACCACGCCCCACACACACACTGGGCAAGAGAGCCTGGGTGGTGGGGGGTCCCTGGGGGTCTCACCTTCAGGATCTGCCCCCCATCGGGGTACTTCTGCAGGATGTTGTGCAGGTAGTCGAGGAGGACAGGTGCCTGCTGGCAGAAGGCCTCCCTGCAAAGCAGAGTGAAGGGTGGGGTGGGAGGGCAGGGCTGGCCCCCAGGGGTCACCAGGACCCCCACGTCCTCCTTGGATGCCCCAGGATGTCCCCCTCTGTGGGGAGTCAAGGACCCTATCCCCTCCCAGCACCCACTGACACTACCACCTCTGAGGAATCCCTTATCTCCCCAGGGCCCCCATCTCTCCCTGCCAGCCTCCAGCAGTCCTGAAACTTCCCCACATCCCCCCAGCCAGCCCTGAGCCCCCCATGATCCC